TATTAGAAAACACGAAATCTGACAATGTTTTAATATTTTGCCCTTCCGATTAGAAGTCGAAAGCGAAAGTTGACGCCGTATCCGTGATCAGCGTAAAAAACTAAAGTCAAATATGTGTATTGAATAGTTTTGATAACCCTTATTTGATATCGTCACGATCCTGGAGCTATTTGATCTTCAATGAAGTACCTCCCGTTCCGACTTCTGAGTCACTTTTTTTAAATATCCGAGTAATATGTGCGTTTCATCTCGTTTGAGAAACAAAGTATATTATTTGAATCTCAGAATAGAGGCAGTTCACTCCCTATATGCTCTTATGTCGAGATACTCGTTGATCCTTGAAATCAATACAGGCAGTTTTCTTCATATGGTGCTAAAGAAAATATATCATAACACCAATATTTCAAATTAGTTTTTTCTAAAGGAAAAATACTTCGCGCGTTCATCCACTGATTTTATGTATACGACATGTGATGAAACTCATCTAATGAAGTTTTGAATGTGTATCCTTGAAAAAGTATTAGTTGAGGCATATGTGATCAAGATACGAAGTACCTCCGAATCCGTGCGGTTTCCATCGCCATTCTAGTTGGTATTGATCGCGATTTCGTAGCACTCTATTTTTATTCAGATAGAAAACATGGGTTTTTGCATCAGGTTAAGCGAACTTGAAGAGATCTTTGGATGTCACAATCGTATCTTCTGCCTCTCCACTCCGAACTTTTCTCATTATTCGATACATAAGAGCTGCTCAAATACTATCGATGAAAACTTTACCATGAGCTGCTGCACTGAATATTCGGGAGGCGCAAATTCCGAAATCTTTCTAATGATAGATGAGATTCTGTATGATTTTATTATTTTTGAGGTGTCTAGCGGTCTCATCACTGAGATAGTTTAACCATTTAAAAGAAGGATGCACACTATGAACATAATCAACGATTATACTTTGAGCAGCATGAACGAAATCAGCGTTGTGTCCAAGATAGTTACTGATGATAGTCACACGATCTGATTTCGATTGAGTAATGTATGGTTTTCGACGAAATCTATTTGCATGACAACTATATTCTCTTCAAAGGCCTTCTCCTTGACTTTTTTAATGTATTCATACTGTTGACCAGCAACAAAGTGCTTTTTGAGAAATATGGACCATTGCACATCGAACTCTTCAAGAAGACTACCAATAGATTTGTCAGTCCTTTGCAATAAAATTTTTGTGTATGTAGGCTTTGCCTGATCGTTTTGTATCGTTGTCTTCGTGCGGCAGAACTGGCTTTTGCTACGTCATTCAGGAGGTGTTGTTGAATCGAATAACTTTATCATTAAGGAAACCTTTGAGGAGCTTACTCGACCGTATAATTTTGCCTACAACAATCAACAAGACATTGAAGAATTTTTAAGCTATGCTTCGCTTAAGTAGATTCTTCTCTTTTTTTTCATTGACGTTTGTTTGTCAATCGAGTACAGTTGAACAAACAATCGCTTCAGCAAATGAAGAGATCTCATCCTAACGTCTGCAACTTTCTCAAGAATCTCAACAAAGAAGAAATCCTTTTCGAACGATAGATGATCAAGCTCCTTCATCTGTGTCTACATGCTTCTTTATTTTGCTTGAAATACAATATCTATATGGTTTATTTACCATATCAAAAGAAACATCAAACGGTGTTCACAATTTATTCTTTCCATATTCTGTATCAAGGAATTACCTAAAAATACCTAACAACTCTGAGAGATAGCCAACTCGGTGTCTCTTTCAATACACCTGCTGTTGCTCTCTCGCCTGTGTGCACATATATCCCCTTCTCACTAACAAGCTTACACTTTGTGCATTCCTGAAAGTAACATTTTTTGATTCGAGATGAGCTAATAAGATGGACGATGAGTTCATTGCGCTCAATTACCGATGGAGCTAGCTTGTTCCACGCTTAATAAATAAAAACAGATGATATTGCTGCTGCTTCGATTAGAGTATTTATCAGAATTAGAAAATCAAATTTTTCATGACAAATGAAGACACAAATGTCTTGAGGTGTCAAGATTTTAAACCACTTCGGTTTCATTAAACAGAAGGTAGATTTATCCGCAGAATTCGAAAAGTTCTTCTCCTTGAGCTGTTTCATAAAGATAGTGTATATTTGGTTGAAAGTCATCAGCATGTACCAAATATGCTCTGGTTGCATCGTCTTGAAAGAAAGCCATGATATCTTCAATAAGTTATGGGTCCATCGGATAATGCCCATCTAAAATCACAGTTTAGTCAGGATATCGAGCGCGTTCCGTAATTCGATTCCTTGTCGTACTTATTACTGATTCCAATAAAAAAATCTTTCAATTTGTACTTTTCTCAGTTCCATGGCGCGAGTGAGAAGACGAACTGGCTCGTCAGAATCACTTGACTCAAAACGAAGCTTCAAACCATTAAGCAGAACTTCATTGTCATTGATAGTGAACAGTATTCTCTTCGATCTCGAGACTGTACTTTCTGACACTCTGAAAATATCATCCGCCGTCCATCGAATCACCTCGGCGGTTCTTGACACCTTCTGTTGCAAGATGTCAGCGCTGTATCTATGAAGGAACTATTTCGAAAAATTACTTGCAAAGCGTAACTTACAAATCTGAAACTCGAGATTTATCGAGCATGGAAAAAACCTTATTCGAAAGATATTTTGCCGTCTCTTGGTTTTATTTCTGTTCAACGTGAATAATTCTACTTCCTGATGATAACTGCGAGGATGACTACTCCGTAGTCTCTGCGCATGCAAAGCAGAAGTGTAGTCGGTACTCCATACTCTACAGCAATTGGTGTTGTCGCCTCGGTGCCTGATCGTTAATATCCATACTCTCATTTCCCTCGTCGATGCTTCTTTGCAAAACCATGTGAAAATCAAACTTCGAACAATTTTTATCGTGGTGTGTTCTGCAGGACAAGTCTCCTGCTGGCATCGATATTCCTTCACCACCTATTGAAATTCAGTAAGACTCTGCAATACAGGGCGTCAGCTTATCATCGACTTTTCGATCGTTTCGTGAATGCGTCGACTACGGAACAATTTTAACGCAGGATGTGGGTGTGGATCTTCTCTGAAAGATTCGTACATACTCACACCCAACACCCACACCCTCTAATCGAAGGAGTAAATGTTTAAACATTGTCAGAATTTATTTTTTCTAATATTCAACTTATTTTAAAGACCAGGATGCTTTTCGCAGAGAAAGAAAAGTATGCCATTCAATAGAGCAAAGATGCCATCATGCCAAGTAATTCTATTTTGTATGCAAAACTTTTCAAAATTTTTTTCAACTAAAAATTGTTTGTCACGTGAGATGCCTTATAGAGATGAAAAAAAATGTTAACTATACATATTCTAATAAATTTTCTCTTAATTTTATGGGTGAAAATTCTGTGCTGAATATGTTCAGTCGTTGTCACGCATATCGTTCTGAAAGGTCAACTGTTTTGTTATTAAAATGATCAACTTTCAAAACTCTACAAACTCTGAAACTTGAAAGAATTCGGAGATACATTTGTTAAGAATTCATGGGGAATTTAAATTTGCGGCAAATTCAAAATTCTTATACCGCTTATATCGCTTATACCGCTATAGCGGTATATATCCTTATACCGCTGTATCTCCCTCACCCTCACTTTGTTGTTCCCAAGGGTATCCTCCCAAGGGTACCCCTCAAGAGTACTCTCCCAAGGGTACCCTCACTTTGTTGTTCCCCAAGGGTACCTTCCTCATCCTCAAGATGCTTCTCTACCTCTATATAATGAATTTGCCGCAAATTCAAATTCCCCATCATATGTTTGTTAATCGTGATAGAGTAATTATGCAGTTACTCAAGCATATATAATTTTGATCTTCATATTTATTTGTTGTCATTTCCCCTTGAATTTGCAAGAAATTTTTTTCTGGTATCCAATGTTTCATTCAGTCATCAATGGAAAAGATAGTACCTCTAATCAATAAAACTTGATGCCACTTTTCGGACAGCAGTGAGAAATAAAGTAAATCGTACGACTTCTTTTTTTTGAAAATGCTTAGTCAACATACCAGGTTCTGGTTCAAAGTAACATAACGATGTGGTATAAACTGAACATTTCCTTGTGTACTAGTTGGCATTGTTTAGCGACAGGTTTGTCGATGAAAATAATTCTGAAATGTTTGAAATTCGTTTGCTTCAAATGATAGCAACAGGAATATAATCAAAATTGTACTTTTAGTCGCTGATCATTACATACTCCACTTAATGGAAAATATGACTGATTGCTTTTTGTTCTTCATTTGTTTGCTTTCCATTAGTTTACATAAGCAACGTGTAAAAAACATGTTCACAAAGATGTACAAAGCATCAATTCATGCTATGTTTACTTTATTACAAGCTTCATGAGTGTCCAAAAGAAATGGTATATTAAATTGTAATTTTAACAGCAGCGAAATATGAATGTATTTACACAATATAAAGAGAGAATACAAGATGACAGAATTTACTTTTGCAGAAAAACTGCAAAAGTAAATTCTGTATAGACTAACTTTATTTTGAATAATCTTCAAATTGTGTAATTACATTTTTAGGGTGGGTGTGGGTGTTGGGTGTGGGTGGGTGTGGGTGTGGGTGTGGGTGGATGTTGGTGTGGGTGGGATGTGAATGTGGGTGTGGGTGTGGGTGTTAGTATACAACAAAAATCAAAGCCCACCCACACCCACACCCCATACCCCACACCCACACCGTCACCCTCACCCCACCCACCCACACCCACCCACATCCACACCCACACCTACACCCACACTCACACCTACACCCACGCCCACGCCCACACCCACCCACACTCACACCCACACCTCATCGTCGATCTTGTGGATGGGTGTAGGTGTAGAATAGTGATCTGCAGTTATCTTTGAAGGTTATCAAAGAATTCGATCATATTTAAAGGATGCCAAGAATTTATTTTCGAACAAAGAGAGAAGTATTAGTACAAGGAATTCGAATTATAAAATATAACGCCAAGCAGCATGTTTATCACCTAAATCACGAATTTCTTGTTCGGACATGTTCTCATAGCCCCATCGTCGTCTGTCTTCTGCACTACCCAATCCGAACATGTCTACGGTAGTATTTGTATGTGTTGTTACAATATTCGTACTAGGACCATACAAGCGATCACGTCGACGATTCTCTAGTCGCAGACCAATCATAAGAATACTAGTGCAAATAATAGCTAGTATACAAAAGCCAAGATTGATAGCATGGCCTAAAATAAAACGAGGTGCATCTTGAGATCGATAAATTTGACCACTTATAATTCCTCCACAGTTACCCACGGATATCATGAATGCCAATGACGTCGCACGTTTCGTTTGAGGACTAGTATTACCTGAAATAAAGGCAATACATGTAGCTACACACGGTGGAATGCCACCAGCTGCTAGAAAGACGGCAAAATATTTTGCACCCAAATTGTCTACGAAAATAAGAATTAGATAACCAATCATAGTTATTAGTAACCAGAATAGAATAAAGATACCACGTCGAGCATATTTATCAGAAAAATAAGCTGTTGTCACCGTTGTAATAAAAGCAAAAGCATATGGTGGAGCAGTAAGAAGTTGAGCTTTGTAGCTAACAAAGCCTAGATGTTGAACAATGGTTGGCAAGAAGAGAGAAAGAGAAAGTAGTGGTACAAGAATACCGAGATAATTCAATGACCAAATATACAATTTCCAACCTAAGAATGCCGACACAACTTGTTTCCAACTGAAATGTTCAGCGCCACCAGGTCCAGCATCTGTTCGTAGACGAACAAGTACACGATTACACTCGGATTCCGTGAGAAATTTAGGCCGATCCGATGGAAAGTCATTAATAAAAAAAAAGGCAAGTACTCCAACGACGACTGTGACTATGCCTTCTGTATAAAATATCCAACGCCAACCTTCTTGACCACCCAAACCATTCATATGATTGATTCCATAGGCGAGTATACCACCAAAGGTGCCAGCTAGTGTAGCCGCAGAGAAAAGAATACTGACACGCCATGAAAGTTCACGCCTTTTATACCAGCTCGATAGATAATAGGTAGCACCTAAATAAAGCACGTTTTCTTTTGATCACTATTCAGTTATGAATGTGTCATTTTCGTGTTCACTGAAGCACTGACACACTCATACAGTCTGTATATGTCAGGTAAATCAGTGAATACTGATTCAGTGTATAGCGGTATATAGTTCACTGAAACTGCACATTCATATATTTAGTTGATATTTACCTGGAAATAGTCCCGCTTCGGGAGCACCCAATAGAAGTCGACAAGCGAGAAGACTACCATAGGAATTAACAAGACCTGTAAGAGTTGTCACAATTCCCCATGTAACCATAATAAGTGGTATCCATCGACTGGGTCGAAGTTTTTTAAGAATCAAATTTGAAGGAACTTCAAAGGCAACATATGTAACATAGACTACACTTAAACAAGCATTATATTGAGCACTTGAAAGATTCAATGAAGTTGTAATGCCATTTAATTTGGCTTGACCAATATTGACTCGATCGAGATAATTGAGCAAGTAGAGTAATGTCATACCAGGAATGACATGAAGATCAAGTTTACGTAGAAGTTTTTTATCATCAGGATCATCAACTGTTTTCTTGCTCGATATACCATCAACAGTAGTAGCTACATTTTCAATTATCTTTGATTTTGTTTCATCGAACTTGTCATTATTATTATTGGCAGTTGCGTTGGCTAATAAGTCATTACTAAATTTGCTTTCAATATTCTGCGATTTTAGTTCATCAAGTTTGATATTCTTGTCGACGCTGTCAAAAACAGTCATGATCAATAAACGATCTTTTCTTCTTCGCGTTTTTTATATCAATTCTGTACATACACATATATACATATGAAGAAATATTTTCTTAGGAAAAAAATTTTTACTGTCACGCTCACACATTGACATAATTATGTGGGTTGTGTATATGGTTCATTTTTTGTATGTTCTCCCGTATGTCGACTCAGTTTGTTTTTTTTTCGAAATTGCCTATATTGACTTCTAATATACCATGTCGATCGTTATTAGATAGAGCAATTTTCAAACATCTGTATTCTTTCTAATGTAAAAGTAACGCCTAAAAGCATTCGTCACCTTTCTTGTGATTGAATATGAATGCAATTTACTTTGAAGATAATTCATAACAGGAAAGAAATAAACTGCTTCAATTTTATTGATCCTCTCGAAACGATGTTTTTTTAAATTTTACTTGTATCTGATGTCCAAGAAAAATTATTCATTTCTTCTTTACATAAAAATCTTATGGTTCATCTATTGATAAAGAATCAATTTGCAGAAAAAGAGCAGTTCACATAATGAAAATAATATAGTGATTAATAATGTACAAAGAGAGATTTTTCAGTCCAAAAATTATTAATGCACAACATTCACCACCAAGATTATATGTAAGGGTGTAGGTGTGGGTGTGGGTGTCGTTGTGGGTGGGGTGTGTGGGTGTCGTTGTGGGTGTGAGTGTGGGTGTGGGCGTGGGTGTGTGGGTGTGGACGTGACTGTTCTACTCATCAACACCCACACTCACACACTCACACACCCACACCCACACCCTTTATATTATTTAAAGATAAAGATTGATCTGTTTTCAATAGATCAAGTTACACTCCACACGCATACCCTCGTACCTCTACCCTTTCATACTCTTTAGTGGTATTTTTTCAAAAACACTACAATCTATCGATTGGAATGTAATCATAGGTAAAATTTACCGTTTACATCTATCTATCATTAACATTCACTCAATATTTTATTATGCAATATCGATTGAGAAAAGTTTCTTGCAACTTTGACTGAACCACTTAGTGATGTCTGTTGCGTGTTATTGCATTTGCATTATTTGCCAGACGAATGGCAGCATAAAGAGAAATGAAATTTTGTCGAATCGCTTAGGATATGGAATGCAGGTGCAGGTGTCGTGTGCGTGTTCTCTAGTTCATACACCAATACCCACCCTCTTACTTTTTTCTGATGTTTTTCACCTCTAGGTAATAATATATTCGATAAGAAAACAATCATTTTTCCGGAACCTTTCCGATAGTGGGAAAAACCTAGTCGACCAAACAAACAGCTTCATTTTTCATGATAAATTTAAGCGATGTTTACTTTTGAATGAAGGGATCGATGATGATTTTCCATCTTGTGCTTTCGCTCCAGTTGACATTGGAAAAAAGCTTTGCTGTTATAATTCACCTATTTGCGCTTTAGTGAGTGACTCTAAGAAAAAAAAAACTTGTTGTACATTCTGAAAGGAAAATATGCGACTGTACGTCTTTTTTGGTTGTCATTCTCTCCGAACAAAGACTGGTTCCATAGACTGTTTTTGATGAATAGTGCGTTTCTATCAACATAATAGCTTAAAAGGAGTTATTTCAGAAGAAAGAAAATGGTGTTTTCAAACAACCATTGTGATATATTTGTGAAATATCTCGTATGATTGGTTTTTTTTCTTGAAATTGTGATAAAAAGAAAACTTAAGAGCGCATTTCTGAGAAAATCAGTCATTATAAGACATCGACAGTAGAATGACATTTCAGAACTGGCTGATTTTTTTATATATAGTATACAGGATAGTGCGTTTAATATTCCCTATAATTTTCACGTCGATCCAATTACCTTTTCCTATACAAATGATCCAAATGCTGTTAGACTTTTGTTTTGGTGTGGGTATGAGCGTGAATATTGATTGTAACTTCAAGGACATTCACACGCTAATTCTATCCATTACTGTGAATTAGTTTTCATTCTTTTACTTTGTTTTAGATATTATGGGAATCTCGACGCCTTCACACTTTGTTGCGGAAACTCGAGATCGAAGTGTCGTTCTAAAGTGGAATCCTGTTGCAGGCGCGACTATATACGAGATTCACATTAGTTGCTCGGATAACGACGAAACAAGTATCGGTCAAACAACATCAACCAGTTTTACAAAAAATAGTTTGAAAAATGGTTTATGTTACTTAGTTTACATAGTTGCAGTGTGCCATGATTTAAAGAGTTTGCAATCTGAAATTCTGACAATAGTACCGAAAGAACAACAATGTTCTTTCAATTTCTTGGCATTCTCTGGAAGAAAACCAGGTCGAATTAGCTTAGCATGGACAGCTGTATCTGGCAGCTCTTGTTTTCAAATTGAACAATGTGATATCGAAAGTAATAATAAGTTTATCTGTATAAAAACTATTAATGACAACAAAGTATTGACATTTGAAGATCAAACTAACTGTGATTCATTTCAATGTTCTTGCAAAGGTCATTATAATAAAATTTTACTATTTGGTGTACCAGTGTTATCCAATGCATTCAATATAAGCCACAGAGTATATTGCATGATGAAATCAGACCTAGAACATTCATTTGATGCATTAAGAAATGCAATATCCAGTTATGAACGTACTGCAAAATCAGCAGCAGCTTTATCTTACCTAGTTTTTCGTCTTCAAGAGCAAATAAAAATACTTGCATATACTTTAGGCACAGATTATATAGGACAAAATACAACAAGACAAGGTTCCACTCTTCATAATACTACATCATTAAATCAAATAGTTGTAAATCTAAGAAAATAAATCATATTTTTCATGAAACTTCTCTATGTATTAATACGTGACTGCGCTTAGCAGATAAATAATTTAGAAAGAAGAGATTTTATTTACATAAAAGATATAAAACACTGCATTTCTACAGCATATATACACATGTGTCAGGCAAAATTAAACTTAGATTTTCAAAAATTAAAACTCGTCAAGTAAATTGCAATTCATGCTATTCGTGAATGACTCAAACTGGTGATATTTCAAATTTTATCAATTTAATTTAAAAGTACACAATAAACTTAAAACATGAATCCGTTAATTTTCTTTACAATTAAAGTTATAATTACGTTCAGAAAGCTATAGAGTTCGTTGCTGTCTTCTATGATAAAAAGCATAAGCTTTTGTAAGATGTAGAATTCACTAGCTTTTTCTATAGAAAATAGTATAGAGTTTTGGAAAGTGTAGAGTTCGCTAGCTTTTTTTCTTTTGAAATGGGCATTAGGTTGAGAAAGATATGGAGTTTGGTGTTTGTTATTGACATCTAATGATCTCATACTAAAACGTGTGTAGTATAGAGCAGTGTTTTAACACCATAAGTGACAGTCTTCTTTTATTGCACTTTGGTAAATTCATGAGCCGCTAATTATGTTCTAGTCGGTGGCTTAGCTGTTTTTCTTCGTTTATTTTCATCATTGAGAAAATTTGTTGAAATGATCCCCTGTAAGTTAATTGTAGTATGTCTAGGTATGTCTTTAAAACGTGAAGATGTAGTATGGATTCGGTGAGAGACGGAGCAGGGGGCAAAAGGGTAAGAGATTAATAAATAAATACCATAAATAGTTGTCCGCTTTGACAATAAACTATTGTCTTTAATAAAGATAATAATAACGATATAATAACAATAGTTTTGTTTTTTTAGTAACTTTATAGATGATCGTCAAACAAACGATTCTATATGATATTAAGTGGAGTAACTATAGAATATTAAGTTGTAAGTTTCTATACCAGGAAAATTATTTTCTAACTATTGTTCGACCAAAAAAAGGGAAATGAAAGAAAGAAAAGAAGAAAAGAGGAAAATGATAATAAAATATGAAAATGTATTCAGTGATCGTATCGTTCGAGAATGGTTTGTTGTGTTTTGAAGATAACAGTAATCAAATTTAAGTATCAATTTGTATGCTGCCACTATCTTTATAGATGATCGTTTACACTTCACTGTTAGTTTACAAAAACAGATAATTATCAAAACAGTGCTGTCATTTAATATTAACAAAACGAAATGAATATAGAATATCTGATTTCAACTTTCTTTACCACCAGAATATATTTTTAGTTGCTTACAGGACAAAAATAAAAAGAAAGGGGGAGAAAGGAGGAGAAAAGGAAAAGCGAGAAAATATAAAACTGTAAGTAGTAATTATATGGTTTCAGGATATTTTATTTTTCTATTATTAAAATTAATAATAATAAAAGTAAAATATCGTTGTTTTTTCTTATCAATTACCTAATAAATTATCAGTTATTTTTTATTTTTAGTTTAATAGGAAAAGAGGAGATCATCAAAAAAGTAACGTTGTACAATGTGAAGTAAATCAAACTCTTACAAAACACTGACTTTCTCATTTCTATTCGTCATCAAGTCATTTTATGGTTTCTGACCAACTGAAAAAAAAGAAGAAGAAAACAGGGAAGGAAAGAAACATTATAAAACAAAATCTGACTTGTGAATATTTTTTTCGAGAATAGTTTTTTCTGGTTTTCGAGAAAGTCGATAACAATAATAGTAAAAATCACTTGTTGTTCTTTATCGGTACCTTCATACATGACCTGTTGCATTTCATAATTAATATAGAAAAAATAAGAGACAATCATCAGACAACTGATCCAAGTGATGTTAATTAGTAGTCATCATATATTTACCATTGAATAGCAGATATTCTCTAACATGAAAAGAATTTTTTAACTGGTCAGGCGAAAAAATATCGTTGGAAAGAAAAGGAATAAGTAAATATTTTGTAAATTGACGATGATTTCTTTTATGCATAAGAGTTTTTGTTTGCTACTTTAACGTAGAAAATGTATCATATTTGTCATATCTGCCCAAAGATTATTGATATATTCAGTAATGAAATAGTTGACGAATCTGCTGAAGTTTCTGAATGCAAACAATAATTTCGAATTATTTCTAAATTAAAAAATGCGGCTAAAATTTTGCGCATAATATAAACTCATTTT